ACCAAATCGTTTGGGCCAAAGCCAAAGCAGCCAGAGGAGAAGCCAGCGCGAGAACTCAACCAAGCGAGTAGAGCAGAGCAGAGCAGAGCCCATGGCAAAAGCAGTGACAGAGGCCGAAGCAGAGGCAGAGGCAGAGCAGCAAGTTCTGTCTGCCTCGACGAGGCTGCATGTGTGTGTGTGTGTGTGTGTGTGTACGCGTCTGTGCCGCTCTTCTGTGCATGTGTGTGTGCACCCTGGCCACCGTATATTCTTTTGTCAGTTGTGTGTGAACTCTATGCCCTCTCTTTTACTCTGCCTCTGCTCCTTCAAAGACGCAACCAAAAAGGATTTAAAATTATTCACAGTTGCGAGATGCTGTTCGCTATTTGCTATTTTTATACATACAGACACATGTGCATACAGCTGTATATAAATATGTACGTTCATACATACATATGTGTACGTTCAATTTGCAGTTATCTAAAGCCGCCGCCGCTGCTGCTGCACGTTATACACACAAAACAAAATTGTCAAATCAATAAAAACGCGAGCAATGTGTCGCCGCAGTCTCTCAGTCGCTGTCACAGTCAGCGCCTAGCTTCGCGGTTAGCGTTCGTTTGCGCTTTGCTGCTTAACTGTTACCATTAACTGTAAAATTCCAATAGAGAGCACATCAAATACTTGTTCAAATGACAAATCACACAAAAGCTAATCATAAATTTTATTGACTACACAGAATGTGCAAAACAAACGCAGAGAACAAAGTCCGGTGCCTTACGGCTGGGCTTGTTCTTGTTGCTCCACAGTGCTTAAACAAGTTACTGACCAATGCAATAATTAGCTAATTGCATACATATGTACATGAGTAAATGTGTATACACACATATATACATGCACACGTACGTCTAGCTATTGCAACTCCAATTGGATTTATTGCGTCAACCTCGGCGTCGGCGTTTTCAGTATTTTTATTTTTTCATGTATCAATAATTACGGCGAAGAAACGTTAAGAAAAACGAAATTGAAGCAGCGGCGCAATGAACGAATGGCCGAACGAGCAGCAGACCAGCCGACAACAAAAACAACAACAACAACTACATTATTGGAGACATGTTTGCGCGGCAGCGTCGCTCATTTATTTTATGTCTCGCTGTCGTGGTTGTTATTATTGTTGTTCTTATTCTTCTTCTTGCTGCTTGGCTAGCTGCTTTTGTTATTGTTGGCGCTGCTTGCTTGCCCAGCCCGGCCTGTATGTATGTGTATTATTCATATATAAGTGTGTGTGTATACCAAATGTGTGCATGACACGACCCGCAGCGCTGCTAACGTCGCTGCCGTAGTCGCAGTCGCTGTGGCTATAGATGTTCACCGTTGTCGTTGCTGCTGTTAGCTTGGATATGCTTTGCGCTTTTTGTTTTGTGCTACGGAACGCCCCTTGGCTGCTTGTCTCCCTTCTCCTTACGACGATCGCCTTGCTTCACTGTGCAAATCGAGCAGTATTTATGCTGTACACAAATATAAATACATACTGTACATACATATGTATGTATGTACATACGTGTGCACACACAGATACATATGTATGTACATAAATAATAGAAAAGTGCGTGGATTTTATTATAAGTCTCTATTTGCATTCGCTTGGGCATCCAACTGCATTTTGTTGGCTTAGCTAACTGACCGATTTACATGTCTTACATGTCTTTTTTGACGACTTATCGGCGAGTTAAGTTTACTTTGTTCCATAACTCATTCCATTCAGCCCAACTCAATTTGGCTCAGCGCCTTTCAGTTCACCCATTCGTTCACTTCTTCTTCTTCGTGTTGTAGCGTTTTTGTTTTTGCTATAACGCAGCTCAGTTGCGGATTTGTGATTTCGATATTTAGTTGGATTTTCTGTTGTCCGTTTGTTTTTTCCGTCAGTCTGGTTGGTGGACTGTCGGTCTTTCTGTCTTTCGCACTGTTTGTACATAAAAAGTTGCCGTCTGTGTTTTGTCTGTCTGTCCGTTTGTCATTTTGTCGTTCAAGTTTTGTGATGCCGCCGTCGTCGTCGTCGTTGTTGTCGTTGCCTCTGCGCGGCTGCTGCTGCTGCTGCCGTTGGTGGCGGTTTTGTCTCGTTCCTCGCTGATTGCTTGCCTCTCCCCCTTGCCGTTTGCCTTTCGTTCCCCTTCGCCCAGCTCAATTCCAGCTCGTTTTGGGTGTACGCCGCTGTGCAGTGTTTCTTTTTCATATTGTTTAATTTATTTCGTTGGTTTTATTGTGGTCGTTACCGTCGTTCCATGTGTGTGTGTGAGCGCGCGTTTGTATGTGTGTGTGTTTGTTTTTGTGAATTCGTCATTTCGTGCTGTTGTTGCAGTTCCAGTGGCGGCCTATACTTTCATTCGCTTTACCTTTTGCGCACGCTATCTCGCTCACACTTCTCGCTCTGTCCATTGCACACTCAGCTTCGCATTATCACCATCATCATCCCTTCAAATTGAACTCACATTTTTGAGGCATTCATCATGATTTTGTTTTCTTGTTTAATTTTAGTCATTTATTTGCTTTGGGCCCTTTTTTTTTTTTTTCTCCACGTTTCCATGCCGCACTTCACGCCAGTCACCCTCGCAACACGCACACACACATACACAACTGCCAATATCCACTTCGTTTCGACACACACAGCCATACTTCTGTTGCATCTGCATTGAATTCGAATCATTCACGCAGCTCTGAGTAAATTTTGCACATTTGCTGCGCCTCTTTCCACTAAAAACAGCAACAACAACCAAAAGCAACTCAGCAGACATTTGATCGCCATTCAGTTTAGTATTTCCAGCTTCCAATGGAATGAACAAGCTTATGTCGAGTCACCGCTAAATTATAAATAGAAGAGAGCGTTTTTTGTATGGCTTGATAATTACTTTCAAATCCAAAACAGATATATGTACATATGTAAATATAAAATGGTAATAGAAATATTAAACATTCATACATGTATGTATGTATGTATATGTACAAACATGTTTGTCTATGTATAATGGTATCAATAATGTCTTCGTACTGCAGCAACTTTTTTCTTTGGAAACGAATATAAGTTTAAGTTCTTATAGTCTTATATCTATTTAAAAAATTCTTATATCTATTTAATAAACTTGCCGTAGCCAAAAATATTGTATAGCTATGATACACTGTACATAGCAGGTCACATCAATAATGACTTATTAATGGATTATATATTAATGTTTTCATAACGAGCATTGTGGCGGGGCTTATCGTTAGTTACCCACACACACATATGTATATTTATATATATACGATATTTATGAATGTGGATAGTTAGGTTAGGTTAGTTTGTTATCAGTTGGTGCGGCGCGGCAAAGGTGCTTTCCGTTTTTGCTGTATTTACTTTTGCCATGGCTTGATTGCGATTTAGTTGCTTTATGCCGAGAATTAGAACACAAACCGTTAATTGCCCACTCGCTGTCTGATTGCCGTCTCTCGCGTCTTCTTCTTCCGTTCGGCTCATCGTCCGTTTCGCTTCTCATTCATTCCATAAGTTGAATTGCATTTCATTTAATTGGGAATGGACGAGCTGGCGGTTGTGCTGCTCGTTTATGGTGCGAAAAGAGTATATTGGCTTTTGATTTCTGCTGCCCTCCCTCTCTATCTCTCTCTTTTGTACATTTAAGCGTTCTTTAGTTAATGGAAATTTTCGCATTTACTTTGAGTTCAATGAGTTAACTACAAAATAAATACAAATAAGCGCACGTGTATTTGTATTTACAAAGGTATATGTGCATATGGATGTATGTGTGTGTCTCTGTACGGTTCTTTAATTTGAAGTGTCAAGCGTTAACTATACAAATATTGCCTTAATCTGCACAACTAAAAGATTTCTCACTGATAGGCCTAGAATACCCTTTGGCAGATATTAATTATATGTAACTTTACCCACTTCTTATATCCAGAATCCAGAATCTCTCGAAAGTCGTAATATCGGGAACTGTTTTGGTTTTATTTGGCTTATGGTGTATTGCACTGCTACTATTTACACTCATGATGAAAATAATAGGTACACTTCTTAAAATTGAGTTTAGTTTAGCA